AGATAGATAGATAGATAGATAGATAGATAGATAGATAGAGATATAAAAATTTCAGCAACTAATTCTACATAGTTTAATCCCTCCCCCCCTTTTTTTTTTTACTATATTTCTCGTGTGTGTCTTCTTTAAGCAATCCTGTTGGTTTGTCATACTGAAACAGGGGGTGAAGTATCTTCCCACAGGAAGCATTGTCAGAATCTTCTAGCTCTGCCTTGGGTGCGAGTGGGAAGATACAATATAATGGGGACAGAGGATTTTGTAGTGTAAGTCCTATGAACCAATCTTTTTCTTGTTTAAAAAAAAAAAACAAAGCTATATTAAAGCACACACAAATGTATCAATGAAGGAAGAACTAAAAATCTTCATTCCCCAGGAATGCATCAACAATGAATTCAGAACAAAAGTGATGACATTACAATAGACCATCACACTTTTTCAGTAAGAGCAAAGATCATAAAAGGTCTTCTTACACATTACAGATAAGAGGCATGATTACAGCTCACTGCCTCTACTAATTTTGATACATTGGCCTTACTTCTATTTGTAAATCCACCTTGGCCAAACAATAAAAAATTTATTATTGTATAACCATCATTATAGGAATGCAAGTATGTATCTTTCTCAAAAAAATACAAAGTCCATGAAAACCAGTAGGAGGCAGCAGTGTCTGCATTTTCTCATTAGGATTTTTCAGTAATCCCTTGAATGGTATATAGCAGACTTCCAATCACAGATGTTTTGGATTTCAAACAGAACCTTCAAACTGGCTGAAACTGAGGTTGATGTGGAAATCAGAGATCAAAATATCTAGAAAGTCAGGTTGAGAAGGCTGGTATACAGTATTACTATATCAAGCATTTGAAAGAACTCTAAACCCCAAACACCGAAAGTGAAAAAAACTAATATATGCTTCTAGTTTAACTAAGGATGCCTCATGCTATACTAAGAGCTTGGTTTCTATTCAGCTCCCTGCTAAACACCAAATGTCAATTGTTACATCAGCTGATAATTCCAGAGAAAGTTGCAGTTCAACTACAATCATAAGGGAAAGTTAAGCCTTGGGGTAATTTACAAGAAAAGTTGTATCTCAGTGGTACAGCAATTTTTTATTTATTTATTTATTTTGCATCAAGGTGGTTCCAGATTAGATCCCTTGCATTTCTGGTTATAATATCAATTAGTAAGTGCTGAAAAATACCTCTGATTGGAACTTCAGAGTTTTAGCAGAAGATTCCTGTGGCCTGTTTCTGATTCAAGCCACAAAATAAACAACCAAGTATAGAGACATACTTTTAAAATAGTTTTATTTCTGCCTTTAAAATATACATTATCAGTTTGAAAATCTCAAAAAAAAAAAAAAAAACAGAAACCCAAAAAAACATCACCATCACCAAAACATTTTAGTTGCAGATTAACAGTCTTGAGTTGGGACACTGTAAAATGTGGCGCAGCTAAATGAGTCAGTTCAAGTTCTCCAATAAAATACTGCCAGAGGTGAAGGGCTAAGAAGCCAGATTACACAAGGATAGTAATTCACTTAATAAATTATACTATTCATTTATAATAAAAAAAAATACTTCCTTTCTTCTGGCTTTCCCCCCAGCCTTTAGCCTATTATCAGCTAAAAGGCTACCCCAGTCCTCAGGTGGCATGTCAAGAACCACTTCAAAGGCCACTTATAGAAGAGTTTTAAGTGGTTAAATGGGTACCCTTAGTCTCTGCAAGGCTTAAAGATATCCATTTTAGCCCTTAAAACTACTTCCAACATTTTTAAAAAAATGTTAAAAGGCCAAAATGTTAGATCCCACCAATTTGGAGCGGCTCTGAGGGTCAAAAGAGGGATGGTAGTGACCCTGAGCTGAACTTTATGGGTCCCTGCTTTAGCTCAAGTGAGAAGAAAAAATTGTTTAAATCGTCGTGTGTTAACTTCAGAATGTTTTATGCAGGCAACCACAGAAAGGAAAACTGGATCCGGACTTAACATTATCTAACGGAGATGGTCTCAAATCAATTCCATTGACCCAATTAGCTCATGAGAACTATTTCAATTCAACTAGAAAGGATTTAACCAATACTGATTTAAATAAAAGGTCACTAAGCAGCCCTATCTCCAGTAACCTGATTTTAAAAAATACAGGAGGACTGGAGCAGGAAAAAATAGCAACCTGGGTTCTGTTCCATGTAGTGCAGAGAAAGTTCTAGGAATTCAAAAGCTGAATCAAGAGAGTGAATGAGAAAGTAAATATCAGCTGAAGAAGTCAGACCACTAAGTATTATGTAAGCTAAAGGAATAGTGTCTTCAGCAGTTTATTAGCAAAAAATACTGAGTCACATCTCACTAATACAATGTAATAGCTAGCAGCCTAAGAAAAAGAATGGCCCATTAAGAAGTATTTAAACAAAACTATATCCAAAAAGTCAGGTATGACCAGATTGCTGTATTTGAGGAGAAAGGCTGTAATATTCCCTAACAGAAAATTACTGAAATCTCATTCAAACAAATAGCTGGCAAAAACAATTAAGCCAAGTAGCCAAGAAGTTTCTCTGGTTGCATGAATAGCAGGGCAGGCTAATGAATTCAAATATTAAAGTTTGATCCTTTAATGAAAAATTCTTAACACTAGGAAATTAATCCTCCCCCCCCATGCGCACATGCGCAAATAACACACAAAAACATACCTACAAAGGAAGAACAAAATACTGAATACAACTAAGAAACCAAAAAAGGGGAAAGGGAATAAAAGACCTTGGATAAGGCCTTGGAAAGGCACTAGTGTCAATTTGGACCCCATACTGGGATGCCCATCCTCATCAGCCATCTCCAAGGGGGCAAACAAGAAGTATCTAATTTTGTGCCAAGAAAAGTCATCAAGAGGCAAGCTGGCTGTATGGTTTAGTCTTGGATTAATGTGGATTTCTTCCTCAGCTAGTGAAATAATTTTATGGACCAGACATAAAATGACTCAAAATGAGGAGAAAGCTGAGATATTTCTTCCACAGCATGTACCACCCTAACCCACTACACGTTTTGCTCATTCACAAAAGGAGAGATAGGTACATTTTCAAAGTTGAAGACCTTAAGCAGCATTCCTAAATTTGGCATCCTCCAGAAGCGCTGAGGCAGCAAATCCCCATACAGTCACACTTGCTGAGAATTTTAGCCCCAACACATCTAGAGAGAATAAGAGTGAGGAAAACTAATCCAAAGGAAAGCATACAAAGTGTACTACCACCAAGACATGATCCAGAGTATCCAAGTGATAGCCGAAAAGACAGCTTCACAGACTCAGCTCATTATGGCAAACAATCCAGCTCAGTTTTGCTGGGTGGCTATGGCAGGGAGCTCAGAGGTCTACTTTGGCAGAAAGAACCCCGCATTCCAGAGAATGGAGCCTCTCCCCCTATGCAACACGCAAAGAAATGGCAGAGGTGATTCCTGTGCCTCATCTGCCCTGTTGACCTATGAATATAGTCACAGAAAGGCTTGGAGAAACAAACATGAATTCACCAAAATTTTACAGAATTCACCAAAAGCTAACAGAACTGAGGATGTTCACCCACAGAAGACTTCTCACCTCATTTATATTCTTCACCTGATGGCTTTGTGGGAGACTGAGGCAAGAAAACAGGGACAGAATATTCCTATTTCATGCCACAAGCTGAAAAGGTAGAAATATAGGCTTCAGGTGTCCCAGGACATAATTTGAATCAATTGGAGTTGATCAGTAAGTGTGAAGGCAGAATTTCTGAAGAAAAGAAATAAAGTCAGACGGAATCCCTCACCAAGCATTCTGAGAAAGAATGCATGGAGGGGAGATAGAAAGTGTACCTTTGTCTCAACTGTTCAATTGTTCTTTACCTTAAGAGGGAAGGTCTGCAAGGTAATTACCACCAGATTCAACTCCACACAGTTATAGTGCTTGTGTAGATCTAAAATTGTGCTGGTTTTCCAATCATATACATTATTATAATTGGACTCAGTGAACTATTTTCTAGATCTTGGCCTTCAAGACAAGGAGGACAAGTTGAAGAAGGCAGGCACAGAGAGCACAATCCTATATCTTGTCACACCTGAGGAGTGCTTGAGCTGTGAACATTAGCACAGAAGTGATGCCAGCATACATCCAAATGCATCCTGATGCTAGAGAAAAGCTGTCTCCACACTTCCTGTGTATTAAAAAGACAGTAAATACTTAAGCATTGCCTAGGATTCCTGGCCAGAAATAACATAATGGCAATCGCTTGAGTTTCAGGGCTTGAGGGGCAAACCTGGGAAGTGAATGCAACACTGAACCTGGGCAGCCAAGACCAATCTTCTTCCTCACTCTCAAGTGAGCAAGTTGCCTTGCTCCTGAGCTTGGGTTAGGCTGTCTTTACGATGTAGATGATGAACGCCCATTCTCTTGGGGCTGCGATGTGGACGCCCAGGAGCTGGCTTGCTCTTGCCATCCCTGCTCTGCTCAGAAACACCCTCTTGACTGTTCTCCTTACTTTCCTGGAACAGCATTTCCTGTTCTTCAGCTGGGCTCCCAGATGAGTAGTCTATGTAATCTTTGGACTTCTCTGGTGAAGAAGTGATAGGTTCTGCCATCCCCTCAGTACCACACCCTTGCAGCAATTTGCAGGCTTCGTCCTGGGAGAAATCTGTGCTGTAGTCAGAAGAGAAGTGGTTCCGGCGGCTCCGAAACTCTGTGCTGTCAATGTCCACGCTTGAGTCTCTGCTTACGGTCCAGCTGCAGCTCTGCACTGATTCCTCACCATCTGAGTAGACAGAAGCCACCCGACCT